TGATCATAATATTTAGAATGAGGATGATAATAATATATTGTAAGACATTCATAAGATCTAGTATTTTCAAAACATGTTTGAAATGTTTTTTAAAATATTGACTACTATAAATTTTTAAGATCCAATATTATATATTAAAAGCTTATCAGCATTCTGATATTAAAAAATTGATCAATCTTGAAGTTTATTATTATTCAAACTAATTCAAACATGACCATAATATCGTTAATTTCAAAGCTAATTCATTGTGATTACTTCTCAAAGTATTTATATCAAAAAGGATTTTACAACCAAATTTTAAATATTCTTTATTATTTCATTAAAAATGTTATAAGTTTCATGGCAGAGGAGAAAATAATAATAATTTGTATCACAAATTAGTAGGATTATGAAATTTTAATATATTATTTGAAATGAAATTATGTTAAAAAAATATGATATCAAAATTATACAACAATAAACTAGATGAATTTAGGAGAAACAATTATTCTAGATGACTTTTTTTCATTATATCAAATGATGCATCAAATAAAATTTGTTTTTTACAAATGAATTCATGTTTGAAATAAGTTTAGATCATATTGATTTTAACAAGTGATAATCTAGTTTAATACTTTAATTAATGATTTTACTATATAAGAGATAATAACTATTATATTAATATTATGATATATAAACCCATAAATTATGACTGTTACAATACATGTCAACTTCAGAAATGATTGTTGAGAAGAAATTTAAATGAGATTTGTAAGTATTTTTAATAAATTAATAAATGATTAATAATATAAATGATTAAATATAAATTTATTTGAATATGATTTATTTCATTCAAATTTTAAATCATTTAAAATATTAACTTTGAACTTGTTTCATTGTAAATAATAATAATAATAAAATAGAAAATAATTTGATTTATTTCTAATAATTGATTTTTTTTTGAAAATTTTGATTTTATTCATAGATATTTTTTTATAAATTAATTATGAGTTAAAAATGATCAACTATTCTAAATTTAATCCCAAAATTAATTTTCTTTTTTGAATCCCATGAGGTCTCTACTATCTTATCAGATGCAAATGTCAAATACCCCAATTGGATTTTTTTTAGCTTTTTTATGCATGTGTGGCGAGGGAACGAAAATTATTTTCTATGAATTTTAATGAAGAGACTGAAGGACTTTTTATATCATATGAGTAAAATATTGTGGATTTAATTTAAGATGGTTGACGGTAAAATTACCATTAAATAGAAATGGTAATTTACCATCTACTTGAATTAGAAAATATTTGCAATCTAATTACCAAAAAAGCATTGAAGACGGATTTATAAAATGAAAAAATCTGCATTCTTAGATTTTTTTAAATTTAACATCATCTTAGTTTAACAAGGTTTTGATATTTTTTATTTTTTCATCAAATGAAAATACCTTATTCTTAAATATCAAAAATTAATTTACATCTTTTTTAGTTTATTAAACTCAACATATATTTGTTATTTTGTTCCCAGCTAGAGCTATATGAGCTTAAATGAGAGAACTCACAACCTTATAATAAAAAATAGTCGTTATGTTAAAAACACTTCACATCACTAACATATTTAACAATATAACACTTGTTGAAAAAAAATCAACTTGATAGATAGATAGATAGATTAATATTAAAATTATCTGAAAGATCAATGTGATGTAGTAGTTTTGATTCAAACTCTTACAAGTTAAAAGTCGTCAATTTCAAAAAAACATATAATCTATTTGACAAAATTTTTAATGTAATTTTTGCTTCAAAACCACCAACATCAAAATGTAATTATTATTTTTTTCCATTTGCCTCAAAATCAAAAGATATAAATGTAATATAAAAATACAAACGTTTATTTTTTTAAAATAATTTCTATTGCTTTTATTGAATAAAAAACGTTTTTGATCCAATCGTTTTTGATAAAACTTTACTCTTTACCTTGTCATTCATATTTTTTTGAATTTCAAATCCAAAGTCTTATCTTCATCGTATTTTTCATTGTATTTTTTGTTTTGATCTAATTTCAATTATATTAATCCTATTTAATTAAGCTAATAAGGTAGTTATCATATATAACATCTCATTTAAGTTATTAATGATATAATCCGATTTTCCTGTGAATAATTTCTGAATTATGTCCTTGGATTTAGACCATTATGATGAATCATTCTTTTGTTTACGAGATTACACATCAATGATGTGTGTGATGTGTTAATTTTGGGATCATAATGAGATCAGGCATTTTATCAATTTACAAGAAATTATGTGGATAGTTATGACATTTTATCTTGTGTTAACCATATGTGAAACATGTATGTAGAGAGAAAAAAAATCATGCTGAGTTTTATTGTAACAATTGAGTGATATAATATTTCACCAATCTTATCGTTACAAATTATATATTTTAGATATTAAATCTAATTGATGTATTTATGGTTATTTAGATTTATTAAAGAAAACTAGGTCTACTCTTTTGTGATACAAACTGAAGATTTCATTATCATATGAAGATATGATAATGATGAAGTGACCTCTTGAACATAATCTTGTAATGATGAAACATGTTTTTGATATGTTTATTCTATGTGAATGTTTGTTTCTTTGTCATGTTGTAACAATTAAAACAAACATGAAAAACTAAGTTGGTAAAACTTATCCCAACGTTATTAAAACCAAGGAGTAAAACATAATGAGCAGCACAAAAAATAATTGCAAAAGTATCCGAGCAAAAAAATCCGTATTTAATACAGTTAACATTCCACGAGTTATAGCTTACTTTAATAATTGATCAATACTTGTTTAAAAAAAATGATTATCATGCATATGACACTTCTGTATCTTGTGCAGGTATCATTGATATATCTGAACACAAGTCTAGACTCTTCCTTGGTGTATTGAGGCAGATTCAAGTGGAATAAAAATCATGGAATGATATCGAGTCATACAAGCATAAAATCAAACATGAGAATTGGTCTTGATTCTTACAAACAATTCAATGAGCAATAATTTCTTATACACATATATGGAATTGGGAATAAAGAAATGAGCATATGAGGATGAGATTGCTTCTATGTGACTAACACTGGATAGTGCTTTTTTTCAAACAATGAAAAAATTACACAATAAGCAAATGAAAATAGTAATCTTGATATCTAGCGGGGTATACTCTCACACACTCTTTACAACTATATCAAGTGTACGATTGGAAGTACCAAGTCTATCATAATAACTTTTACCATCTGAAATGTACAGACATGCTTTTACATGTCAACAGAGGCATGTTTAATAAACAATGTTTTATCCTACTCTATTTCCTATAATGTTGTTAATTTTCTCAGGGAACAATCTTTGTTGTTCCAACAAAGAGTGATTCTAATTTAGCCTCTGGAACAATTTATGACTTCTTCAGCAGCGAAGTAGGCTTGTTTGCTAGCAGCTTCATTCACCATGGCCACACAGGCTGTGTGACACAGCGTTCTACCGAGGATGGCCGCTCCGTTGTCTGCCGAGCCTTCTCGTTATACTTCCATCAGAAATGCGTGCTACATGGAGTACCAAATTTTGCTACATAAATGCCCAATTTCTTCTAGTTTCGCAACATGGAATATCAATGTGGGGACGTAGATGTGAAATTCAAAACTTCGTGTGAAAGCGAAGATCGTTTAAAAAATTTGGACTTTCTATTTTAATCATCCGGGATCACTGCGGAATATAGCAAAAAGCATGGGAAGACCCGTCAAGGATGAGACCGAGGGGGTAAGAATAGCATCACAATGGAATAAATAATAGTGCACCTAATATCTCGGAATTATTTCGGTCACGGGTTGCAGAAAAAGGTGTGACGTCTATTTTAAAGGCAGACAAACAAGAGGAACGCTGCGATTGGTGAGTCGAGGTCCGTTGACGCAGAACCAGGAACCTCGATGTCTTGCTCCATGCCCACGATCGTGCCCGAGAGTCGCGTCTAAGTTACCACGCTCTGCGCTTTCGACGACGACCGACAAACCCCCAGTGCGTCATTGTCAAGCTACGGACGGCGTTCTAGAAGAGAGGCGAGATTCCGGTAAAAGACGAGAGAAAAGGAAGCTGACGAGGAAATGAGAGCTTGCTCACTTTCCTGATGGCCAAGTAAAACAGCTACTGAACAACATCCTCGGAGGTGCTCAGAGTGGGCCTGGAATTGCAGCCACGTTCTCGACGGTAGCTTCGACATACGAAGGCTCAAACTTGGCAATGATGTCTCTAGATATCTGACCACTTGTACATGGAAATTCTACTCGTAGACCGACTCGATCATTTCCATCCAATGATGAACGTCGCATACGGTATTGGCCGGGTTTACAGCCATGCAAGAGCAGACACAGAGATATTCAGTGGGCAACTTTATTCCTCCCACAAAGTTCTTGCACACTGTGGGTGGGAATCTGGGCCGCGAGTGTGGAGGTAAAAACATCCCATGCTGCTGCTGCTGTGTCAAAGGCACCAGTGGTAAAGTATGTCCAAGCAGCTTTTTCTCGCAGCCACGTATTATTTATTTCGCAGGTAGATAGCCACATGTGAACAATGGCGGTCAAAAGGCTATGCACCAATCATCGTAAATATTTTATTTTACCGGAGACTGTCGAGAAGGAATGAGTATTGTGGCCTTTGTCTCTCGTGAAGAAAAGCGAAGACGTCGACAACAGCTAACCAAATATTTTCTTTAGTCCGTTGAAATGCGGGACGCGGGCGTGGATAATGCAAAATAAGAGGCGGGGCTCGGGGGAGAACAGGAGCGGTTGACCTCGTGCAATGGGTGGGACGGGTAAATGCGTCGGAGAGCTTTTTCACTCGCTCATAACGATGAATTGCGGAAAGCGGGATTTTGTGCAGATTCGTACATCGGATCCCATAATAGAGAACAAGAAAGGCCAAACAAGAACATAACAAAACAAACAAGGGGCGAGGAGGGCAATAACGCAGACGCACGACATGCCAGAGAAAAGATAGAACCTTTTTCAAAATAGATTTTCGGGATGATGGTACAGAATACAGCACATGTGACATGGCTCCTTGTCATCTTCCAATCAGTGGCTGCAACATGGTTCCATCTGCTCATCCAATCGGGCGATGCACCATCCATCGTCATGACTTTTCCACATGGCGACCCTACGAGTGCCCCTCTTCTGCTTTCCTTTGCTTTCCTTTCGTTTGCTTCCTTCCCTGACTCGCTCCCTTCGTTCGTCCCGTGCTGGGGACCACCGGATTTGCCATCCGTTCGCTCTCACGAGCCGCCAGATCAACTCGCACATGTGTTTTGTTGTTGACGGAGGTCTCGTCTTCGTCCGATACCAGATCATGTGCCAATGAGTTGCGAAATATGCCGCTGGGAAATGTTTTGCATGTGGGGCATGTTTATCTTGACTCGCTGCGCTTATCAAAACCCGGCCGTGAAGAACGAAAGAGCGAGAGGGAAAGTTGTAGCCCGAGAGCAGACTTTCGGAGTGAGTCTGGAGTGAGGTTGGACCTGGAATCGAAAAAGCATTACGAGGAATTTTCTTTGAAGTTCGGAACATGCGATCCACAGTCATCCGTGACGAGGTTCATGACACCTCATAGATGCAGTTCGGACGCTCTTCCAAGATAAGGTCATCAGAACAAGAGGGTTCTGTTGAAATCAGCACTTACGTGATTGCAAAGCATAATGCCGCCGTGTCTTCACTTCATGCTTCCTAGCCTTGAATTGAGATAGACTTCACCGGACGGACTGCCTTCATGCCTCGCTGTTACAAATATACAGTTCCTTGTTGCAAAAATACGGCGGTTGCTTTCTGCATCTGCACTGCAAAACAGAGTTCAAAGAGGCTGCTTCTTGCTACAATGTCATCCAAGACGATGAACTTTCTGTTCATACACTGAGTGATTCATTTTGTATTGCTCGAGCTGTGCAGGAAAATCTTTCAGTGATTACTTTAATTCATGGCAGGCGGTATGTCTCATCGGCTTGAGCATAAACCCCTTCACTGAATGTGAAGTGTACGTCATACGGAAATATATCCTCGAGGACAAACATATAATTTTTTTTTATAATGGAGGAATCTATAGATCCAATAGAGCAGATGCTGAATCAAATAAGACCTACTACCAAGGATACGAGACAAAGAGAGCCAAAGAAGGGCAGAAGAAACCATATTTGAGGGATATAAGGAAAGGGTGGATGGCGAACCGAAAAGTTCTTTCCAACTGTACACACAAATGAAGCCAAAAAGCCGTTTAAAAACTTCGTGCCCAGTGTAGTTACAGGCAGCAATCTGCTCGTGGGAAGTGCAATTTAGATGCAGAGAGGAAGGAACACAGCTACATCAAAATGTCAATCCATCAAGTGGAACCTCAAAAGATTAAATTTTTTCGAAAGACTAACTGAGAGATCGAATCCAAATAAATTCAGCGATTTCCAAAACTACATTGCAACACCTCCTCATGAATAATTTTCGTGCATGATGTATTTTGTTTACTACGACTTGTATTTCTATTTCACAATATCGTTTTCAAAAGGCCCACAATTCTTACAAAGAAGAAGCGAATTATTCTTTATGAAACGATTGAAAAACTGATGCGATATCTTGAAATTAATTAAAAGACGTAAGAAGTCAAGATTCAAGAGATTTCATGGAAAAAACCTTCATCTACAACAAAATATTGAGGAAATCAATCATTTGAGTGAATTGAAATTCAAACCATTCAGAAATACAACATTCTTCATCATGGAAACTTGAAGTTCATGGTTCAAATTTCTCGAGAATCCATGAATGATGACTAATACAAGCCTCTGTTCCTCATTATCTCTTACAAGGCCAGCTCTTGTGACCACGATAAACATAAATCTAAAAACTGCATGCTTTTATTCGTGGAGTACAAATCAGTTGAACAAAGAAAACAGGATAGAAAGTAGGAGTATGAACTTTCCACATAAAGCAAATGATTACACAACATTCAGATCGTCAAATACATGAGAACAATGTGACGCAAGTTGGACTTGACTTCTACATATAAGATTCTAAAATATAAAAGACGTGGATATTTTTTCCATGTAGATATAGAACTACATTTATCACACTTTGTACAGCAAGCAAGTCTACGCTTTAGAATATGTCCTAGTCTTGGTGGCATCTTCGCGGAATCACAACTCACCCAATTAAGTTCAGACTTTGAACCTCATCTTGGAGATTTAGGTTTTTAGATTTAGTACACATCTTCTGAATATGTCAGTGAACAAAAGTGCGAAATTATGTCTCCAAATTTGGATACTCACGGAGGTCACATTCAACTCCAGGAATCATATTAGAGCACGACGGTTAGAATTCAAGTTTTGTACATGGTGAGACCAGAACAACTTTGGAGACATGTTGGGCTGAGAAAAATTTGGAAAAGGAGAGGACACACAACGGCTTAGCATGTGGGGGAACAAGACAGGTTTGTCAAAAGCATGGATATGGTTGAAGAAGTTGAAGACCCGCTTCAGTTGAAAACGTGGTCAATCCGGAAAGAGTCTACAGTTGAATTTGACTCAGTCGGGCGGGGCACGGCAAATGACAAACATGTCAAGCCAAATCCAAGATCTCACTCACTGATTCTCAGAATCATAACACCCTCCTTCCGTCCTCATCACCTCCTCCACTGTACCTTGCATAGTTCACGTAGAAACGTACGAACCGTGGAAAGGCCAATGGGAACATTTCCGTGCTACATTCTCCCAACTTTCAAAAATATGAAGACGGGGAGTCCGCGGAGGAGGAGTAGCACCGGGCCGCAGACACGACGACTGCCCTCTCCGTAGCCTGTCCTCTAGACGGAGTAGGAGTCTAGGTCCTAAGGGCCACAGGGATTTGAATTCTGTGGCTGCATTCGAATGAGAATAGTCGAGGAGCTGCAGGTGCCCATCAATGCGCGGCCGCGCATTATCGTCTACATTATGGCAATTATGGCCTCGCATCGACATGACATGGGGTGATGGGACGCAGTAGTAGTAGTAGTAGTAGCAGTGCTGGTGGTTCGTTGGTGAGGCGTCAAAGATAGAAGCGGAGTGAGAGGCTGGGGAGATCGAGAGATGGGACGAGGGACGAGGGAGGATGTAGACTCTAGAGTCGCAGAATATTGGCTGGGGTCAAGAAGTCCACCGCATTGTTTAAGTGTCTGCTGCTGCTGCTGCTGCTGCAGAAGCTGTGGGAAGGGGCAGCGGGTGGGGTGCTCTGTCATTCTGTTTACATAGTGCCGCTGCTGTACAAACAAACAAAAGTAAGGATCGAAGCATTGCTTCATTTATCACAGCAAAAGTCAACCGCCCTATCGTTTGGCCACCTGCCCATAAACAAACACGAGTCAAGAGGTGCGCGAGAAAGACGGGAGATTTGAATTCTCACCAGTCAAGATTCGCGGAATACAAAATTTCAAAATTGGCCTGTAAATCCTGGTGATGTACATGGAGTACATGACCATGTACATGTAAGGGTCCAGGAAGGATCCCTCATCCCCCTACGTGTAGTCGGTGGTGGTAGAGTGGCAGCTGGAGTGCCGAGTTTCACCAGGTAAGGTCACGTCAAGTCAGGTCGGCCTGAGCTGGAGCTAAAAGGTCAGTTTGAGATTAGAGGTTACAGCCTGACAGTTGAGCAAAAGCGCTGCTGTAACAGGCTCTTCCTTCCTCATTTTCTCTCCGGCTTCAGAGCGGCGTAGCGTGATTGGGTACCTCCACTGCGTTAAGGTCTAGCTAAGTTAACTTTTTTCTTATTCCATCCCAACCGGACTCCTGTCGTGTATCGGCCCTTATCCTCCACCAAAATTTACCGAGTAGGCTAAGAGCACTGAGCGGACACTTCTCGTGAAGCCGCCGACGTGACAGATAATATCTGCCTCATGCTGCTGTTTGTAGCTCGAATCTATAGAGACCCGGTACGCTGCCTGCCTGCCTGCCTTTCACTTTTCCAGTTCTGGTCTTGTACGAATGCTGATCTACAACGAAAGACTCTCAAACAGGGGTATACATCAGATAGAATTGGGGAAGTTGGCCTCCGCGGCTGCCACACAGATGAAGATTGTGGACAAGACCAGTGGCCCAGACGAAGAAAGACGTGTCAGCCGCGGTGAGCGTACAGCGAGTGTAGATTTGAGGCAAAATGCTGAGGCAAAATGAGAATCAAAATGCTGTCATGAGAGTTCTGACGAGATGTAGATTCATTACATACGGAAACAGATTGCCGTGTTGGGAACAGCCCTGACACAAGATAACACCAGTGAACAGAGGAAAATCAAGGACAAATATCAATATAAATTACATGACTCCTTGATTTATTCAAAGATGGAGGTGATCGGCAATTAGCTGACATTTCTTCCATTGACCCTTGAATTGGGGTCCTTGATACAGTTCCGCTGTACATGAAACCTACTGACTTGATGCAACCCATCTAGCAAATGGGCCCGTGACGGGGAATATCTATCCCCACCTCAAAGGAAATGTTATTCACAAAAAACGACCCTCTGAAAAGTGGGTGATCGGTGGTGCTAAGCCGCGCACGAGTTCTCCACAGACGGGATACCTTACCTCCGCGTGGACTCGTGTGGTAGAACCGCAATTAAGTAAGGTCCGCGCGAAAAATAAAATTCTGAAAGAGCTCCGCGATGATCTAAGTGAATGGGGTTGGAGTGGTAGCAACTGACAGCACTCCCGATGGAACTCTTGCTGGTAGGGTTGGTGAAAAAAATGGAAGGGGCCGCATGTCTCCAGGCACTGGTAACCTCCTGCCTCTCGGTGTAGCTCCCTCATCTCCTTGAGAAAACTGTGAAGCTTTGGTGCCCCAGCCCATGACATTGATATGATTCAATCGCTTCATCTCCAAGCCTGCATAATTGAGTCCAGCAGAACGGAATCTGGCTTATTATAAAGTCACATTAATTGCTTCAACGGGATGGCATGATGCAAACCCTAGCCTGGATCCACTAATTCAGTAAAATGTGACACATGAAAATACAGAGCTTAGGAATCAGAGAGATCATCTAGCTTACCTTCCTCTATCGATAGCCACATGGCTTTCGACTCTAATTCGACCGCAACGCCGCTCCGCGCGGCGGGAGAAAGATTCCTAAGGGCTGCGGAGACAAGCAGGACAATCGTCAGGAAATTTCGAATGAACGTTTCACTCGAAGCCATCAGTCATCGTCAAATCGTACAGGCCGAAACTCTGCAAGATAGGAATAAAAAAATCAAACTCAAACAAAAATCAGAAAACTCTGTCATTGATTTACAGGGCTTGAATTTCTTCTACCCACCCTGGGCGTTTTGACTGGTGCCAACTTCATCGCAGTGCTTCAGATATGCTTGAAGCAGGACAAAACGATCCTGGAAGGTCATAGGTGGCCCTGCGGGAGACGAATGGGGAGGAACGGGTGCCACAGGAGTGGCAGACAGCGCCAAAGACTTGCCCCATTCTTCTTCGGGCTTGGGCGTCGATGCAACTGGGCTCCTAGCCGGAGGATTTCTCACGGGCTCGGCAAAGCAGCTCAGCGAAAGTGGCAAAGACGGCTCTCCGGCTGAAAATGTTGGATGACAAATCGGCATTGGCGCATGAGCTGGGACTGTGAAAAGCTTCGATCGCTGCCATGAAGCGTCTCCGCAGGTGGCCTCTTCTCCTTGCTCTCCCAGGGTTTTCACGACTTGCGGGAGGCTCCTGATGCACTCTGCTACTGACGGGTTAAGAGTGGAAGGTCTTCCTAAACCTAGCTCGGTGTCCTCAAGCATCTCTGTTGCGGCAGACGGTTGTCTCGGGGGAAACGGTGACATGGAATGCAGGGTTGCCTTGTTGGGTGCCGTCGTGTCGAAAGATCCAGCTGCTGCGTTGTCTCTAACGACTCCGTTCTGATAGCGAAGTCCGTCCCGTGAAAAGTTTCGAGAGTCTTTGAACAGTGAAGGACTGCCGGTCCCACACAGCCTCGCCTTTCTGAGAGGAGATTCTTGAGATGGAGACGGTACCGTGGCATCGGCACACCTGGGCTTGTCTGGGAAAAAGTCGTGTTTCTTAGGATGAGAAACTGTTTCAGAAGTCTCTAACCATAGCTGAAACGACGTAGGCTCCGCATCGGTGTCTTCTAATGGCTCCTGTGCACTCGATAGGTTTGCCAAAGGCACCAGCTCTGAATTCTCCCTCTTGACCCTCTTTTTGATTTGATCGCGCAGATCCGCGTACTCGGCGGGGTTATTCAGCTCGATCGCAGAGGATGCTCCTGGTGAGTAATCCGCAGTTTTGTGCACCTTGCGAAATTGTTTTCGCTTCCTCCCGGTGGACGCGGTCCCATCATTCAGGCCTCCCATCCTCTCGTCATCCGTCCTGGACTGTTCCCGGCCTACTGTATCACTGCTAGGCATGAGATGGAAAAGGGACAAGCTCTCGGCGGGGGTCTGCGGAGCTGAGGGAGTTGAATTGGTCGATCCGCTACATTGGTTACTATGGGCTGTTAAATAAGTGTCTGGTTTCGGACTAATAACCTCGGACCACTTTTGCGCTAATAATATAGAGGGAGACTCGCTCCCGTGCCACATGGCATGATGAGTAGATTCGGTGGCGGGTTGCAGGGCCAGACTTAGGTCCGCATGCAGATCTAGAGAACCTTGGCTTTCTTGTGTAGCTTGCCTCCTCGGCTGGAACAATCTCAACGAATTGATCATAGACCTCGCTGACTCGTGACCTTGTGGTGGATGGGAAAACTCATGTGCGCCAGACTTTGACCCTGGGCGCACCGGATTCCAAGCCCCATCGTTAACTCGACTGGGTCTATTCAGAGCTTCTTGCTTCACTCCGTGTGACGTGCTGTCACTACCTCCCACCGCTTCGTGATGAGCCCGGCGATCTCCACAGTACTTCTCTGGTGATGTGACAGGAGATCGGCTGCACGGCTCATGTCGCAACTGGAGCTGCAATATGGAGTCGTCCGGATGTGTCGTTTTCGATTTCGTCTCGGCTATCGTCGCCAATGCGCGAATCGAGGGGGGCTGACCAATCGGCGAGGATCCTGTGGAAGGAGAAGCTCCGCCTTTCGACGTAGATATCATATGAAGCGCAGAGTTGAGCACTGTCAGTGACATCACGTTTTCTTTCTGAGATTCCTTCTGAACCTGTACGGAATCCCGCTGCAAACCAGAATGATCGGTCCCCCTGTTTGAAGAAGCAGGCACAGGGTAGTTCGCACCTGCCGGTATGTTTGGTGACTGTTCCTGCCTGGCCCAAGTCAGCTTGCTGCGTTTATCGAACAAGGCGACATAAGAACTTCCTGGGGAAAACTGGTGCAAAGAGTTCGGGGGTTCAATAAGCTGCCTCGGAGGGCATTTCATGGGAGTAGAGGGACCTGCTTCAGGGGTTATCTCCAACCGAGTTGCAGACTGTGTATGGCCCTGTTCACAACCAAACGCATTCTGTCAGCTGCCGTTATCCATCATCACAGGACATGCGCGACGGCAATTTTTGTGATCAGTGGCCAGCTGGAGGAAGGAAAGTTAGCTGCCTGGGATGGACGCATCGAACTCAAGCAATACACTAACTCCCGGAGTAAGCGAATTTCGTTTAGTAACACCCTGTCTATCCCGAGCGCTGAGGCCACTATTGAAGTTCGACAGTGGAGGCAAAATGACTGTAACGATAGAATCGCATACCCGTTTCGAGTCCATCCAATGCGGCAAATCATGCGTCATGTCTTTCGCTGAACTACCGTAGACGTCCAATTTGAGGACTCCTCGGGGCGGTGGCGTTGATGCACCCACTGTGGAGACAAACACTAGGTCAATCCTCGCTTCACGGTAGATTGAGGGTCCACAGATGCCCCTCGAGGCTGTAATAAAGCAAGAACTTCTATCCAATTTCACAAAACTGACGAGCGGCATTGACGAACCATTGACTAAAATTGGGATTCGCCTGGCAGCAACTCACTTGATGGAGAAATGACGGTAATGGGTTCCGGAATGGAATTTGTTCGATACCAAAACTGGGAAAAATGCGACTGCGATACAGGACCGTCGCGGTGAGGAGGGAAGCCCACCGGATGGTCGTTCCCTGCCTGCTCCACGGCGGAGGTCATCACAAGTTCCGCTGTGCTGCTTCGACGAGTGCCAAATTGTCGCCCAAAAAACACAGCGGTGCCTGTACCTTCCTCGGAGCGCTGAACTCAACTAAACTCAATAACTGTACACCAAAGCCTTCTGAACTACAAAACGTCATCTGTCGTGGACAACGAAGAATAACGAAGCTCTTCCATGTCCCAATGTCCAAATTGGTGAAAGCTCGCTGCGGGCCAGCGATCTCCCAACCATCAAAGGCGCAGAAATGGCGCCACTCCCTCCCGTCGCAGGTGTCTGTACAAGTTCCGATACGAACAGACCGTTGTGAACAATCAATCCGCTAGAATGCAAGTGGCGCCGGCGGCCAAGTGGGCGCGCCACTTGCGACCAATCCAGAGCTCTCGCGGGTCGGGCTGCTCCGAACCTGCGACGTCCGACGCTCTCAACGTATTCAAGGCCGGTCCCTGTCCTCGCCGTTGGCAACGTCCGTCCCGACGACGCCCGTTCAAACTTCAAAGATCCTCCGGCAAACGGCGGGCGGCCTTAACCCGTGCGAGTATCTGTATACATGCTGCCCGCTTCGGCTCTCGAATTCGCTCCGGAGCCTGCTGTCACATGCCACAATGCATCGATTCACTTGATTGTTATCGACTCGGCGTGAGGAGCGCCCAATCGACAAACTGCCCGCCTCCTCCTCTCGCCCACAATCTTCAAACAGATCCCCTCTCGAGGACTGACTGCAGCCGCTTCGCGTTTCACCACCCCCCACAACGCCAGAGGTGTACGAGCCGCGAGCCGTAGGTGTGCAACAATCTGCCTAAAACCTCTACGGCTCTCGGAGCGCAAAAGCTACTTCATCCACGGGAGGATCTACAGACACTGGTTCCCACTACAACAATTGACGGCGTATGGACGTTACAAACCTGAAGAGTTGGAGCAGGGCAACATTTTCTTCATGGTTCCTGCGAATGTCCGCTCCAATCGTTGGAGACTGCTAATGCGATGGACTGAGGCACGCACTGTACAAACCCGAAACCCACCTCTGCCCAGCTACGAACGACTAAAAGCTATCAATCAGCAGCCGTCGAAGCGAAAACAGTCCAATCCTTGGCCGTGAGTAGTACCAGAAACCGCAACCTGACTCCGATTCTTGAAACGCGTTTTACAGGACAGGGGAGCTCGCTCGCTCTCTCTCACGACGCTTCTCTCTCTGTGTCTGAATCTCTCCCTCTGTCTCTCGCTTCTCCTCTCCGGTTCAGTCAATCGACCAATCGACAGGGATGTTTCATCCGTGTTCCCAAAAACTCACTCACACTCGGATTCCTCGCGTCGGGGCTGCTCCTTCGCAATTCCACCGTATGCCAAAGATCCCAATGAACCAGAGTGCATTACACTCTCTCTACACTGTACACATGCCTACAGGAAGCTCTTCCGCTCACAGTCATCTGGATGGCGGTCGAGGAAGGGAGGCAGGGGAGGGGAGGGAGGGAGCAAGAGAAGGGAGGCAAGCACGGAGGCGCAACTAAGCAAGTCGCACGGGGAAAATGGTGAGAGGCGTGTGAACCGGTTGTATAGCCAAGCGGAAAAGTGAAAGCTACGGCGCTGTGCTCCGAGTAGCGACTAGCGACGAGTGACTCGTCCAGTCGCTTTCGCCATCGAACTCCTCCTCCTATGCTGTTGCAGGACTTCCTTGCTACTGCTGCCCGTGAGCCCCTCCATTCCCATCATCACATCACATCATCAGCATGCAGCATCCCTCATCTCGCTCTCGCACGCCCGCCTGCCCGCCTCCCTGCGTCCCTGTCTTGTCTTCCTTTCGCCATCCCGTCCCCATCGGGCCCCATCCCCATACATCACCATCCCTCACATCGGATGACCGTTAGACCGTCCTCCCTCCCCTGGCCTGCCCTGCCCTCCCTCCAACTTCATCCTCCCCAAGTGGCAAAGCCTGTGGCCAAGATCATAAATGAACGACGAACACGTACATCCGGAAATGGCCGTGCTGCCGCAGCCCGTCCCGTCCCTTTCTGCCGTCTGCGTCTGTGCTCGCCCCGCGAGGCACAACAGCAGCATAACAGAGCAACCGCGCCTAAAGAAAGGGAAAGAAGCCCTGGGACGAGCATCGTCCCTCGGGCTGCCCACGCAGAGCAAGCGGGCGGGCGGGCAGCGATCAGCTACGTAGTAGTAGTAGCAGCAGCAGCTACAACAGGACAAACGAGGGCTGACTCATGCGGTGATGATGAATGTATGTTTATCATGTTGGGACCCGGCTTCCCGCCCAAACTCAAAAATGCTCCTCCTCCTCCTCGTCTGGCCATCATCCTTCCGCGAGAAATGATTTCGCCTGCTTTTGTTTTTACCCTGCGTCAAACCTGTCCATTGACATCTCTCGGGCTCTCTTGCCGGGACTGGACGAAGCCGAACTGAACTGTAAGCTTTACGGCAGGGAAGCTAGACCACCATCCATCCAATCATCTTGCTCGTCCGCTATCCACGTCGTGAGCTGCTCCCCGCTCTCCCATATTACTATTTCCTCGCTTTCACGCGCCTGTCAGGGGCAGCTGTTTGTCCCCCCGCTCCCTTCTCTCTCTCTCTCTCGTACAGATAACCTACCCATTACGGGTTCGCATCCGCCGGTTTTGATTCAAACGCTCCGGTTTGGATGTTTATCCAACCCAGAATTCCAGCAGCATGAAATCCACCGGTTTCTGCTGAGCAGCGACCGATCCTCGCCCTGTCCACTTGCTAGTTGTGAGCGATCCACCAACCGGCCTCCGATATCCGATGCGTTTGAACTTTGAAAGAGATTAGCCGCGCTGAGCAAAATCTGCGCCTCGTCCTCATTCATCACATTCATCTACCAGCCCGCCTCAGTCCAGCGGATCCGCCGGTATATGGCCGACTCGCCCGGCCTCCGATGCGTCCATATACAGTACACCGCCTCCAAATCCGCCGGTGCAATTTGGACGCGATGTTTTTTGCCCACCCGCAATCTATCTTTGCTCTCTGCCGTCTTTTCGCTGCCGACACCGGCTCCGTCGGTCTTCACCACCCGCTATCCCTTCCGGTGCCCTTTATTCAAACGTCTATGCGGGGTGGAAGGCAGGCAGCCGGCCCGGCCCGGAGTCTATAGACCCGGCCCGCCAGCCTCGTGACAAACCCGTACCGTACCGGCGGCTGGACTCACTTGGCCGTGGAAATCCCCGTGGAGTGCTGGTAAGACAGGGAGGGAGGGTAGGGGGATAAAACTGGACCTGCGTGTCAGGGGCCCCCGGTGACCAAGTAGGTGGTGTCGATCGGAGGGCTAGAGCTGCCGCGCTGGGCTGAGTGTGTGTACCGTTAATTAGAACCATAATTGTCTTGCGCGCTCAAGTCTCGAAGGAAAGAACGGAGCGAGGCAGATGCCCATGCGCGCCTCATAGCCGTAGCAACAACGGTCGTATACCGGGGGTCAGGCCGGGGCCTCCTTTGGGGCAGTGGTTCGCAGCGTCAAGAGCAGTTCCGGGTCCGGGTCCGGTTGTTTTCGATCGAGGGCCTTTCTTCTTGCCTTTCCTTCGCTTCGCAGCTCTGGACTTGGGCGTAACGGTAAACTCTGCGTCGTTTCCAGCTTTCGGCCAGAACGCGCAGGGCTCGGTGAGCTGTCCCCAAAGGTTTCGCGACTTTGATTCCTCCCTTGATGGACCTTTCGAAAACGGCGAGTCTGTCACTTGTTCCATTGAGAACCTCACTGGCGTAGATTCATGCACAGACGAGAAGAGATCAGAACAAAACCGAACGTTGCATCGCACTCACATTTTCCTGCTCTCGACAGAGGGAATTATGTGCTGCTCACTGTGGCGGCACCAAACAAGCTCGACGATCCATGGATGATGGAAAGCCGCGACAGCAGACTTTTTCTAAAAGAACAGTAGGCTTGTACTTGCGAGGTCAAAAGTGTTCATATATTCTCGAACACCTCATTCGTTTCGGACTTATTCGTTTGAGGAGGTAAACTTGGACGGCCTAGCGAGAAGAGCCATGCGAAACGAAGCAAGTAAGCGGTTGTTGATCAAGTCGCAAGTGTTTCGTTCTTTCTGTCATCACAATTCAAGAATTTGCCTACACTCGACGGATCTTCTGTCAAGGAAATAAATTCACCTCCCAATCCCACCAACTGGCGTGATATTCAGGAAGTGCCACACATCGGGTTGGTTTGCATGTCAACCCTCAAGTACGCTTCATGAGTGTTAACAATTATTGACCCAACTCAGAAAAAACAATATATGGATGCGATGTTTAATTTAAACTAGATGTTGCTTTCGCTTTTCTCTAGTGGAAAAAACACAATATTTTTATATTCTGAAAAGAGTATGGCATCTGCCCAGTTTCTATTGAGGAGGAGTGAGTCTACCAGCGAATTTAAATGGCTTTCTTCTTTCTAAATGGCTTAGATATGTTTCTCCATTACAGTATTCTAGTGGAGGCAGCAAAAATAAAACTCAAGCAGAAGAAAGAAAAGTCAGGTATTTTATATTCACTTCGACAGAGAAGCTTTTTGCATCTCGTATCCTCTAGAGGCAAGTGTAGTCGACTCTGCACATTACATCATATGTCGACTTGCTTTGTCTCCATCGTGGAGAGTGCAAACTCTCAAGATTTGCGCACCTCACAGTGCAATCGATTGTGTGGATTGGGAAGGTAAGGAAGGATCCTGGCACGCCATCTGAAGCTTCCGGGGTCCTCATGAACACGTAGCTTTCACTATGCAGTCGTTTTGTTTTGGCATGAACACATGCCTTAGCTTGCAACATCAACATCATACCAGGTCATTGTACTGTACAACAACCTGCTGACTTCGCTTTCCCATTGGATCAAAACGTGAATTCGCTTTCCATTGCGAGTCAAGCGTTTTAAGTCTCTTCTTCCGTGCGGAGATGAATTCTCATCGGCAGTATGATACATTGCCCATTGTAGAGCTATTGACGGCTAGCCCCATCTTCCTCCTTTGGTTTCCCACATGTAGCCCTTGTTGGGGTCTCCCTATGCTTTTAGATTTTTCTTGGTGTCTGAGTACATCGGGAAAAAATGCCTTTCGTTTTAAGTAACTCGTGGACCGATCTTTTCCTTCGATCTCAAATCCTTTCTGGAATGTTTCTCTCGTTGCTCGTCAGGTGGGTGTTGTCAGGTTATGTACAACGTGTAGTCACCAACGGGAAGATCGCCTCTGGACTTACGGAAGTGAAATAACATTTGCACACAATACTCATGCGGCCATCTAAGTTTCTATCTTTCTGCGCACCTGGAATTAAATGCAAACACCTATGGATCCCTCCACCTAACCCAATATAGGTATGGCGGAGGAAAAAACCAATTTTGTTGTTTTCTGTAATAAAGCGTGTAGAAAATTTGGAAGGGTGGCAATTGAAGGAGCGTTTAGAACAAGCTTCCTAGAGATGCTGTAAGTTGCGTTCCATCACATGACGACCGATTCGATTCTGAAAAACCTTCGGCGTGCAGTTGATGTCAGTCCAAGATGGCGAAAGTTAGTTCGTTTATATAGTATGGGATCATAAAGGTATCGAGGCAAGCCAGCTTGGCTCGATGTCATTCCAAGTTCCCATAACGTGGTGAATCAATATGAGGTGGTAGGGTGGAGGTAGGAGGAGGACGGTCCAGTACTGGTAGTGGCGGACTGGGGAATCGGAAATCCTCGTAAAGCATAAAGTGGCAAGACTGTTGATCAAGCTCATGAGTGTGTTGAAATGAAAACCCTCCTCATCATCTAGAACTGTTCCTTACCCTGTGGATCAATAAACAACCCATCCTGATTACCGAGAGACGTCAAGCTCCAGCGCGGTAACCACAGAACATGGTGTATAAGGACTCCAACTTCATCGGCAGTATGACGTAATGGCACGGCACACAATCGCCGGCTCTCATTCCAGTAGAAAGTTGAGAGAAGATTATGTATGCTGTGAAAAAAGATTGCGAAGGTCCGTCCGACACTACGACGAGGGAGACAGACGGTTTGGAGAAAGAATAAGAATAAAAAAAAATAAAAATAGGTGATCTCCTCTAAATTGGTCTGCTAGGTGATTAAAAATCGGACGTGTAAAGCGGTAGCATGTCAAAAACTGCATTACTTTTTTGGAGTAATGTTCACTTCTGGATTGATCTAGTCTTCTCTTGTGATCTAGCAATCTGGCTCGAGAGAAGCTCAGAATCTGCCACTTGGTATTCCAAAAGTTATCACGTTGTGTGAGGCATGGAAAGTAAAAGGCATCCTTGTGTGTTTTCGCCTGCTTACTACACACCGCACTAGAGATATAATTCTTTCCACACTTTGGATTGCTAGGTGCGTTTGCTTAGATTTCTGCACCCTTAAGTGTTCAAGAGCATATTTGAGAAACTTTTTCAGTAAATGGATATGTAGACGAAAATCCATGCTAGGGCAGTAATGAATGAAAAGGAATGCCGGTGTTCCTTGCATGGTCACCATCCTGTACTTTAGTATTGTGAAGACGGTGTGGAGGAAAGGCATGTCTGAGTTCTGATTGCGATCATGC